AGGCAGAAGAGGAAGACAGCCGCCCATACATTTATTGCTTTCCACCACCGGACGGCCTGCAGGCAAGGATCGTTTCCCCGCATCTTGTCAACCTGCAAGAAATGCGGACGCTGGAGCTGGAACTCAACAGCGGATGGAACGATATCAAAACAGGCACCCTGCGTGTTAGGCCAGCCACTGCTGGTCTGCGACTGAGAATCGCAGAGGCGGAGTTGGTCGAAGGCGAGATTCAAATCAAAGCCAACAGCGATTCAGGCACCATTGAGTTCAACGAACTGAAGCCGAAATCATTTGTTCGACTCCGGATCCCTTATACGGTGGAGGAGCATCATCCGATCTTGTCTGCAAGGGCAGAGGTGACCTATGAAACGGGCAGTGGGTCGTTTTCGTACTCTTCCATTCACAAAATCAATTCAGGTTTGCCAATCAGCGTCAACGTGCAGGACATTTTCAAGAACGACGTGCTGTTTTCCCGGTTTACAATCAGCCCGGCCTTGATGATCCCTCTTCGAATCTTGAGATGCAACATCCCTAGTTCGAATGCCTACGAGGTGCAATCAAGCATTGGTGACTCTGTGGCGCTAGATGTATTTCCCAAGCAGCCCGCCTCCTTGGTATACAAAATCCGGCGGAAGCAGGACAATGTCTCCTCCCCTGGTTCCAGACGCTCACTCCGGCTGAGTGTGGATTTCACGTGCGTGGATGATGAGTGCATGGATGCCGTGGAAAAGGCATTCCACTCTAGCATCATGGCTAGTGAATTCCACCCATACAGCACGTTACTTACGGCCCATATCCTTGATGCGTTCCGCACCCAATTGTCAACCTCCGACATGGAGATCGTTGGCCTGGTGCGAGAGGTGGAAACGTTGGGGTATGCGAATGCTCGATGGGAAGGATTACTGGGCGCGCTGAAGGAGCCACTGGACGGACTGAAAACGTGGCTTAAGGATTGGCACAAGGTGAGAAGTAGCCAGCGCATTAGCCGTGCTTCCCTCGCACTCAAGTATACTGACAAACGCACAGAACCACCCGGTGATTCGTCTCCCAGCATCGCCCACTGTGCCTAATAGACACATTGTCATTCCGGTTGACATTCCTGAAATCCCAGTTGTCCATACAGCCGAGCTTCGCCTCACCAATCTGACGGGCCAACATCGACACGCCGCAGTTGGGCAAATGATCGCCGCCGAACTCACTATCCATCACACTCGGCGCTGGTGCTCAGCTGAACAACGTGAACAGGCCAATGGATCGCTCGAATTTACATATGAGCTTCATGCCAACCCCGACTCGTGGTTGATTGGCGGTCGACGTCGCGGAAACTTTACCGCCGAAGAGGGGGAGACTAAGACATTTGCGATCATGCTCCTACCCCAGAAGGCTGGCCACCTTCTTCTTCCCGGGCTAGAGATTAGAAGCTTTGTACCACCACCGCCCTCGTCGTCGGGAGCCCCGCCGCCACCGATTACCCCTATGCTGCAGCCCTCGACTGGAGGGGCGGCGGCAGCAGCAGCAGATCCCGGGCCAGCCACGAGCGGGCAGCTACAACGACGACCCATTCCTTGTGAGGTAGATTACCGTAACCACGGGGAGACGGTGTTGGTGCTACCGGATCTGCGGACGACGACGGTGAGCCTTTCCCTATCGGGCGGCAGCCATGGCGGAGCATGGTTGGTTGATTCCGAGCGACTCCATCAATCTGCAAAGAGTACGAGTACATAGTACATAGACTTCAAAAACAACTTGCAGATGATTTTGAGAAGGGGGGTTCCTGGCCTTATGATTCGTCTGTACAAACATATATAGATACATACATACATATATATATCCAAGGACATGATCGCCGCCTTCAGCTTAAGATACTCAGTAGATATTATCGTTGGCATGTCAAGAGCAGCAGCATGCATTAAGTTAGTAATTACTCGGCGCGGTTGAATCCCAAGTTTCGAAAATTTCACACCCAGCAAAACAGGTATCCTCCAAATTTCAGCCGGGAACACAAAAAAAAACCACGACCACGCCAATGTTCAAACTAAAAAAATACAGTTTAGCACCCCCGAGAGCGCCGCCGCCGCCGCCGCCGCGCGCCCCTCTTTCCCCATCAAATCAGCACCACGCAATCGAATGACAAGCGGCCGCCCATTCGTCGTAAGTGATTTGTGTTTCAAGGTTGGCATTCTTTCCCTTCCCGATCCAACCACCTCCCGGGAAGTCAGCCCCACCAGCCTGGCCGGGGAGGGATGGATCTCAACAAAATCGATGGTGTGCCCCAACAGAAGTCTTTGACATGCAGGGATTTTTTTTCCAACTTACTCAAGCACGGCTACACATGACTAGTGGTTTGTTCGGTATAGAGGAGTTCCGGACTCAGGTCATTTCGGCTTCATTTACTTTACCCTGTAGGAGTTTTTGGATTGGATTAAATTAATCTGATGATCTTGGGATGCGTAGGTAGTTTACATATACTCATACCGTAGTAGTGAAGTTGTTGGGAGGTGATATTATCGGCAGTCAGCCCATCGTCCGCAGCATGTTGAACACAGCACCGTAGACAAAGCTCAGTCAGCTCTTATCACATGTGCTGCTCTGCTTGGTACTCCTGCCTGTAAAGCGTTGTGTACTGTCCTCCGTACACTGTACACAGGAGGGACGAAGCCGTTCGCATCGACGGTGGCAAGACGCAGAGAGGACTCGGGAGCTCCAGGCTCGAGGAGCGGCAGTCTTCTCCTCAGCTGGAGCCAATCAGCAGTCTGGTAGATCGGGCTCCTCGCTGACAGTGGTGGAAGCCAAATGGAAGCGCGAGGTGATCCACTTTTCGAGCTGACTGGTCCGCTAGTAGTTCTTCAGAATCTTTGCACGGTGTCTTTTGCTGGCCCGGTCGGCGATGTTTGATTTATTGCATTACATGCTCAAAGTATGAGTATGGGTATGGGTATGAGTATGAGTATGAGTAGTGAGCACCCTTTGCACGGAGAAGAATGCGAGGTGGATTACATGGTAGTTGGGGTTTCGCTATCCGATCAAGAAAGAGTCGAGACTGAGCCGGGTCGATCTGAGCTGAGCATGAGTCGTGCTGAGATGAGATTGGCAGAGACTGAAGGATGATCATGGCCATGGTGAAGCTGACCACTGCTACTAAGGTAGGCATTGCAAATCACCCCTCCAGGGAAAAGTCGGGATGGGTTTTCCGAGTGGCATGTGAAATGGGGTTGGTTCCCTTGTTGGGGCCAGGCCTGAGCAGTTTGATAAGCCTACAACCGCATCATCTCCGGTTGATTATTTCTCCACTCCCTCCCTTCTCCCTTTATTCAGGTGTCTGTTTCAAGATGACAACTTCACAAACAAAAGCTCGGATCATGGAAGACGAATCAAACTGATGGCAATGCCACTCAAGAGAGATATGGCCTTTGAGCTAGTGGTGGCGGGTGCTTTGCTTTGCTTTGTTTTTTTCTCTTTGCTGAAGCCGAACAAAAAGAAATAACAAAAAAGACAAAAAAAGATGGCGCCAAGATTGTTGAGAAGCCAAAGTTCTGCAGGAGGATGTTCATTGGACCCAGTGGGGCGGTGAAGAGTCCACTTACCTCCCCGGTTCTCGGTCCCTGGTAACGCAACGAACCATCAGTCGTATTTTTGCAACTTGTAATCTTGCAGATGCCGGCCGACCACATGGAAAATTCCCTCGATCAGTGGTGAACACCCCCCATCTCCCTCCACATCACACGGCGACGACTGTATGGGGCGTTTGCGGTGAAGGAAACACCTGCAGAGGCGAGAATGGAGAACACCCCCCAAAAAGAACAGCTTCAGCCACCGCCAGTCGTACGACCATTAGTCAGACTTTTCTCGCTCTAACTACTCAGCCTTATCGGACCCGAGGTGGCGAGAGCTCTCTCTCTCCTCCATATCGACCACCTCGGCGTATAGTACTCCGTACAGTAAGTAGCACTGGGCTCGTGGCTGTGGTCATCAGAGACAGAGAGTCAAAGATCAGATCAGACCTGTGAGGCGCGGCGCGCTCATCACAGTAGGCCATGCATCTCCATGCATCTAAGCATGCACCCTTGAACCTAGATTCAGCCGGCACAGCCAGAATGATAGGCTCAGCTCCAACCTCGGCATTCGTGCACAAACAAGATTGTAAAGATCGACTTTCAGCAAATCCTTGTGAGTGAGCAGCAGTCCAATGTGCCGTCTCGGACGATAATACTAAGTGATGGGGCCAAGATGAAAGTGCACGGAGCAATCCAAGGCAAATTTGGCGATCGAGCTGAGAGCGGGATTGCAAAATACCAGCGGTGGTAACGGGCAAGATGGACTCCCAACCAATCTGGCCAATCCCGATTGTCCCAACTGATGCAAAAATTTCGAGCGGGAGATCCCCCGTACCACCGTGTTACAAGGGCCAGGGGGCGGCGATTGTTCTGTTCGGTTCGGTTCTGGATGCTGGCAAAAAAGAAGTCAGATAAAAAGATTGTTGTCTCTTGCCTCCCTTTCCTTACCTTCCTTTTGCAAATTACCTTTTCTTTTTGCCTTCTTCCCTTCGCTTTCCCCGATTGTTTTTTTCTTTCCTTCTTTCTTTTTTTTTTTTTTTCCCTTCCACGCTCCCTGGTTCGCCGCGCTCCCCTCCTCCCTCCCCCGGGTTCTGTGTTGAACACCTTATTATCACGCCTTATTCTTCCTCCTCTTTCTCACCTTCTTCCTTCTATCGTTCTTCTTTCCCTTCTCACACTCTTCTTCTCCTCATTCCACCCCCCCTCCCCCCTAAGTCGACAAAAGGCTTTCCTGAGGTGGTCAGTCAGGCTCCTCTCACTGTCCCCTGCCTTGTTGTCAATTCCCCCGACCTGGTCGCTTTTCATTGTGTGGGAACCCCTTCCGTCCATTGCATCTCGGCTCTCATATCCTCCGAGCACTGCTTTGATCAATTGGTGAGTGAGAGATATGAATTTCTTGGTGGCCTGTTCTCGGGAATGTGATAAAGTCACAAAGGTCACCACGCATCGGATCGCTGGCTTTGCTAACCTCCTGTTGAAGCCCTAGTCTTCCCCTCGTATAGAGCTCGCAGATTCACCACCGGACAGTAAAGTCAGAATGTCCTCCACAGCTCTTCCCAAGCGCGTTGCGCTGCACCGCAACCCCACCACCGACTCCTCGGTGGCCAGCTCCATCGCCCCTTCCCCGATGGACAGCCCTCGCCAGTCTCCTTCGACCACCTCCCTGTCCTCGCTGGCCTCCGAGGCGGAGGCTCGCAGCAAGATGCTGGACACCTATGGCAATGAATTCAAGATCCCTGATTTCACCATCAAGCAGCTCCGTGATGCCATCCCCGCCCACTGCTATGAGCGCAAGGCCTTGACCAGTCTGTCCTATGTCGCCCGCGACTTGTTCTGCCTGGCCACCGTCTTCTATGTCTTCCACAACTATGTGACCCCGGAGAACATCCCCTCCACGCCCATCCGTACCGCATTGTGGGCCCTCTACACCGTCGTGCAGGGTCTGCTCGGAACCGGTGTCTGGGTCCTGGCTCACGAGTGTGGACATCAGGCTTTCTCCGCGTCTAAGGTTCTGAACGACACCGTTGGGTGGGTCTTGCACTCTGCTCTCCTGGTGCCCTACTTCTCCTGGAAGATCTCCCACGGAAAGCACCACAAGGCTACTGGCAACCTTGCCCGCGACATGGTCTTCGTCCCCAAGACCCGCTCGGAGTTTGCTACTCGCGTCGGCCGGGCCGTCCACGAACTGAATGAGCTGATGGAGGAGACCCCCATCCTGACTGCTCTCAACCTGGTTCTCCAGCAGCTGTTCGGATGGCCCATGTACCTCCTCACCAACGTCACCGGCCACAACAACCACGAGCGCCAGCCCGAGGGTCGCGGCAAGGGCAAGAAGAACGGCTACTTCGGTGGTGTCAACCACTTCAACCCTTCCAGCCCTCTGTACGAGGCCAAGGACGCCAAGCTCATTTTCCTGAGTGACCTCGGTCTTGCCATCACCGGAACCGTTCTGTACCTGGTTGGCTCCAAGTTTGGATGGATGAACCTTCTGGTTTGGTACGGCGTTCCCTACCTCTGGGTGAACCACTGGCTCGGTAAGTTTTCAATTCCCTGTTTTTCTTGGTTAGATGACCGCTAACCTCAACCGCTAGTTGCCATCACCTACCTCCAGCACACTGATCCCACTCTCCCCCACTACCATCCTGATGTCTGGAACTTCGTCCGTGGTGCTGGCGCCACCATCGACCGTGACTTCGGCTTCGTTGGCCGTCACATCTTCCACGGCATCATCGAGACCCACGTTCTCCACCACTATGTCAGCACAATCCCCTTCTACAACGCTGATGAGGCTAGCGAGGCCATCCAGAAGGTCATGGGCAACCACTACCGTACCGAGGCCCACACCGGATGGACTGGTTTCTTCAAGGCCCTCTGGACCAGCTCCCGTATCTGCCAGTGGGTTGAGCCCACCGAGGGCGCTGAGGGCGAGAGTGCCGGTGTCATGTTCTACCGTAACACCAACGGTATCGGTGTCCCCCCCGCCAAGGTTGCCCAATAGATCTGTTCTCGGTCGATACATAGAACGCGCGTCGGTTTTTTCCCTCGACTCTCCTGATTAAGGGGGTTGTGTCATTTCTGTCTTGTTCAAATTTTTTTCCGTGGTGCTCTCGCAGGATCGAATTGGCCACGACATGATCAGCACTCGTCATAGAGCATCTGCTGCGAGTTGATCTATCGGCATTCGAGCGCTGAAGGCGTATATGGAGTGGAAGTGGGAGCAAGCGGGGTCGGGTTAATTGTGATTGTTGGATTGTTGTAAAGAAAACACAAAAGCAAAACACCCATTCTTTCTCAACTGGCCGTTTATCAATATCTTGGGAGCCATTTTCCTACTTTCTATTACCTTCCAGATGTCCTCATCACTCATCATCTCGTGTATGACTTCTGAGCTCAATAGACTAATGTCTGCATCGTTCAATGTTTAGCATATTTATCCGCCGTGTTAACGCTTCGTCCGTCATGAACCGCTCCGAGCTCCAGGTTGCACAATGGTGTCCGTCGTTGTAAATGACATGGAAATGATCAAACCAGCATTTTCCGAGCAAAAGTTCCGTTACTCAGTAGGTGAAGTAGTAGAGTGGAGACCTGATCAAGTTTATCGACATGACATGGATGACATGGCCTGGCATTCTAGACCGGCACAGCCCTGCAGATTTCTGATTTAGAGTCCTCAGCGGGGCAAAAGAATAGTAGACCAAGGTCTGGGTCGCGGGGGTTCCGCAAGAAAGAAAGCTGAGGGGTGGATGAAGGGAGGGGGGAGGGGGAGGTATAAGGGTCTTATTGGGACGAAATCCTTTATTCCTTTAAAAATAAAAATAAAAATAAACGTTCCCCCCGTCCGCGGGCTTCCGCCCGTGCCGGATACTTTGGAGAGGGGTGCGGCGCTAGTCCGAAACAAGCGTGGGCATGAGGCATGAGTACTGAAGGTGTATAAGTGTGCACAGCATATACAGTACTACAGTACCTAGATTTAAGAAGTCTAGGTCTGCTTCTTGGTTGGGGTTGGGGTTGGGATTTATTGTTGTGTACCATACTTGTGGTTGTTTATATGAGGGGATAATCAACGAGTATGTGGATACTCAATAGGTATAGGGTGTAGCGCATTGGATCATGCGTCTGTAGTCTTTGAATATGTGAGGTTCAGTATGAACAGGAGGTATCTATATACTGTGATGCTGCCGCCTGGGTCCGATGTTGCACTTGTTATGAAGAACATCCCCGGATCCCCCCCTTCCAGATCTCGAACTCGACTTCTTCTTGGGTGGATGGTTGTTGGAGCTGCGGAGATGATTGGTCTTCTTCGGTCGGGTAATGGGTGCTGCCTCCTCCTCCTTCTCCTCCTCCTCCTTCTCCTGCTTCTTTTCGACCTCCGGTCCATGGAGCGAAAACTACCTTGAAGGTTCGGCGGATGGTTTGCGGGGTTGTGCGTTGCGTTGAGGGGAGGAGGTGGTGGTGGTGGGTTGTTGAAGGATTCGTGGTGGCTGGGAATGGTGCAGTTGGCGCTTGAGGGCTTGTCGGGGCGGGTGATGGGGATTCTGGTTGCTGCATGTCTGGTGGGGGTTTGGTTTTTTGGGGAGAGGAGGATGGAGTAGGATTGGGGATTGTGGTTGCTGGTTGCTCATCAGTAGCAGCAGCAGCAGTAGCAGCACCGCTGAACTTCACTGCTGCATCATCTGATGGCTCGAGTTCTTCGGGGTCAGAATCGGAATTGGCGATTTCTGCCTTCTGTTCTTCTTCCCGGCTTGTGCTTGTTGCTCCTGCTGAGGTTGTGGTGGCGGTGGTGATATCCAACAAAGCTCCCTCGTGCTCACCCTTTATGTTGGTGGGCCCAATAATCTGATCAGGGGCTTTGATTGCCTGCGGGGCATCGCGATGAGGAAACTCCTCATCATCGTAGGCGCCCTCAAAATCAAAGATTCCTAACGAGCGAGTCTCCTTCTTCAAGGCGATTCGACATGCGATTTGCGTCGACCACACCAGCCCCAGCGTTGGAGTTTTGGAGGTCGACCTCCACAACCCCGGGCCATAGCTCGGAAACAGAGACTGGGGGATGTCGCCCCATCCTGTGAAGAAGCGTTGCTGGTGCACGAGACTCAGGATCTCGTTGCGGACAGGGTTCCCGATGAGGTACGAGCCGTCGAACTGTTGCTGCTGCTGCTGAGGATCGTCGTCTGCGAGTGGGAATGGTGAGGAGGAGAATGGAGGCTGAGAGGACGGTGCGAGCATAATGTTGCCGTGGTGGTGATTTATGGGAGTGAGGTCTACATTGCTGGTTTCGGCAGCTCGGGAATTGCGGGGAAGGGGTGATAATGCTCCACCACCTGCACCGGGTTCGGCTCGTGGTATTCGTTGTTGCTGCGGCTGTTGAGTAGAGGGTACGGATGAGTATGCGGTGGCACCACCAGGACGAAAGAGGTTCGATGGTGTGTCGCTGTCGATGCGATCCGAGACTTGATTGGCGACGACAATGGCTATGTCTTCGGCGACGGCGAGGTTGCGCAGCAATTGGCCCAATCTGGCGAGTTCGCCGGACCGGGTAGAGAGACCTGATAGGTTGTGGGAGGAGTGCTCCGCTCTGTAGTTGGAGGTGATGGAGTCGATAACCACCAGTCCAACGTTGTAGCGCTTGATCGCGACGGGGAGCTGGTAGTTGAGGATGTGATCTTGGCTCTCAAGGTCCATCGCGTTGATGGAAAGGACCCTTTCGAGGGAGGGGGCTTGGTCTTTGCTAATCTCAGAGAGGTAGGGGTGGTATGCAATGAGCTGAGAAAGTCGCGGTGTCGATAGCGGAGCTTCGGTCGAGATGTAGATCGCATTCTTCGCCAGACCCCGAGGCGCAGGCAGCTGGACGGCCAGAAGGAGAGTGAGGAGAAACTGCGTCTTGCCGCTTCCACTACAATCCGCGTTAGTCCGTTCATGCCTTATGAATGCGCATATAGAGTAGTGGGACAAGCCGACACACGCACCTCTCACCCGTCACTTCGGTCACGTAGCGAGTCGGTATCCCTCCATCGAGCAGTGCATCCAACGTGGGGTCGAGCGTGCTGATCGCACTCCATTGCGACAGATCTAGCGTGCTGGCTGGGCCTGGAGCGACAGGCAGATCCTCACTGAGGCTGGAGCCTGGCTCTTCCGTGTCGGGACCTCTGATTTCTTCGAATCCGACATCGTGATGAAGCGCTCGGATGATCTGAGTGGACAATCGGCGGACGTCGGCTGCGGGGACGTGGGCGCGTTTGGCGATCTCGAGGATGTCGAGGGTGATCAGATCGACGGTGGTGATATGATTCCGCTCCAGAGGAGGTAGAATATGGGAGTACCGTTTGGTTGGGAAGTCCGGGAGGACTGACAAAAGATCCATAAGCGTGAGAAACTCGGATGAAGCAGAAGTCGAGGCTGCCCGCCATCAACGGTTCCGCGGCGGCGACGCGGAGAAGACACGGCCGCACGTGCTGCGCCATCACTAATTGGTCCTCCCATTTGGGATCATCACATCTAGATCTATGACGTTGATTATGAAGCGCGACCTCATCAACTAGATCGATTTCTGATATTCTCGCTCGGTATTCTAGACTTGCTATATGTCGTCACGAGCATTCTCTACTCCTCGTTTCTATTTTCCGTCCAGCCTCTGAGTAGGAATGGGCACAGTAAAGCCGCAATTGACACTTTGGATTGATCAAGTCGAGGCCACCATCATACTGAACAGTCCGAGGTGGTCAATGACTGTCTTGTGCTCTCAACCCACTATTTGAAGTATGTGGGAAATCTTCAGAGGAATCGTGGTGAGCTTCCAACATTCGGCGCAATATCAGTACAGGAAACTCTGCCAGCAGTTCTCAGAACTCAATGGTGTTTTTTGCGATTTTCAAAAGATCGTATATATCTCACCGAACAGAAGAAAATTTGCGCTGCTGATTCTTTATTTCTTTGACAGTAAAAGGGGATAGCTTGCCACTTGGAAACCGGCCTTTCCCCTCAAGTGAGGCTCACGACCAATGTACCCGTTTCAGCAGACTGTGGTATCTTACCCTAGAGAAAAAAGCCTCTAAGTTACCAAAAGCCTCATGACTAAGATCTCCGTGTCTCTGGGCTTGTGCTTGGCCCTCTTCAAGCCTCCTCCTTCAAGACGACTTTATGCAGACATGGACCCGATAATCCTATTCTCCCGGTACAGATGCCTTCCAGAAAAGCAACGGCTTGCGGCATCGACGCCGAGTGGGAGACGATTCGCTGGCCGTGAAACATGGAACGAAAAAATCCCCCGACGAGCAGATTGGTGCAACCTTGGGACGCATAGCTTGCTGTCCTCGTATCCCAGTACGGGACGGACAGCAGTCCAGGACGGCTGAAACTAGGATCATCGGAAAGCCCATTCAGTCACCCAGTCCCAGCGGCATTCTTGATCGCAGGATTGGACATGATGCATCATCCATATCCCGGGTCGAGGATTATCGTTCGATGGTGCAGGGATCTTCGAGGATAGACGGATGAGTGTCGATAGTCATGTATCGCAAGTCGAACGCATCATGTTGTAGAAGGTGGATTATCGCACGGACGGCTTGTGCGAGGGAGCGTTTAACTCCTCTCGGGATCGGGAAGTGTTCCCGGTAAGTCTAAAGCTCCCTCTTCTTGAAGGTTGGAGCAAGGAAGACCAACACGGAGAATATTGGTCTGGGGATATTGGCCCGGGATATAGATATGGGGCAGACGTGACGCGTTTGTGTTTCACGGGAGCTTTTTATGGAAACGTTGCTCCAGATCGCATTTCGTTCGCCCTACTTTTTTTTTGTTTTCTCTGAATGTAACGATGGAGGTGAAGGGCAATGAGGGATGGGTATGCACACATTACAGGGTAGAACCTCACGGGCTTGTAGGTAAACCGTGCGCATTCTAGGTTGGTCTACGGAGTAGCAGACTAGGAATGGGATAGCTGACATGTGCGTCGGCCTTATTCAGGTCTATTAGGACATTTACTGTTACTGTTCATACCTCCTTAGTCACTTGGCGCAAATCGGATAGTTCCATGAAATGGGTGTGGATGAAAGACATTGATTGCTTCATTTAGCTCTCCTAGTCGTGGAATAGGAAGTCCCAAGTAGGTCTAGGTAAGTGAGAAGCTTAGGTAAATGATACCAATGACGTTGGTGATAATCTTTCCCATAAGAAAAGAGGGTCGTCAAAGCATGACAAGCGCACAGACACAAGCTATGACACGATAATGCATGCATCTTCCAGGGATCCCCCTCCCCGCGCTGTAAAGACAGAGAAGGAGAGGAAGCGAATCA